CACGCACCCGAGCTGGCGGGGTGGGGTCTCGCGCGTCCGGCGCTGCCGCGAGGCGCAGCTAGGGTGGGTGGGGAGGGAGGGGCACCGGTGGGAGGGATGCGCCGTGGGTACCGGACAGGAAGTGGGCGGGCCGGTGATGACGGCGCGCGTCGAGTGGAGGTGAGATAGCGAGGGCGCGATACGGCGTGGAGTGGCCGCGGCGACTGCGTGGGCAGCGGCGCCGCGCGGAAGTAGCGTCCGGGCCCGGGGGCAGAGTCCGCCTGACGTCAGAGGTCGCGCTCAGGAGGTGACGCGCTGTCGGCGGCCCATCCCACCCGGGCGGATCGCACGGTGGCTGACTCTGCAGCCTTGGGCGGCGTGACGGGCGCGATCCCGGTTGACAGCGGTCTGTCGGTCCGGCGCCGCCGTCTCAACAGTTACGGTGGTCCGTCCCGTGGGAACGGGCCGCCTGGGATGGGCGCTCCCCGGCCGCCGCCGCCGCCGACGCTGTTTGTCCTCGCGCCCGGGGCCGAGGGCGCACATGCTTCACGACTGTTTTCGGACGTCAGTCTCGCGGCGCCGCCAGTGAAGAGCGAGGCTTGTCGCGCCGCGATACCGGCGCACCACGCGGCGTTACTGTCCAGACCAGCGTCACGTGTCTGATGAACAGCCCGCCGGAGCGCCAGCGGCTCTGGAGCGAAACACGGACCGCTGGCGTCGCGTTTGGAGCTAATGCGCTCGCAGAGGCAGGTAATCGTAAATTGCCTCCCGTGAGCTTCTGCGATGCATAACTTGTGTGGCGTTCGGCTGGACGAGAGCCCGTCACGAGAGATTGGCCTCCAGCGCGGCCGGCGCGGCGCCACATCGGATCAGAGGTACGCCCGATGCCTATCCGTGCCTGTTTTAGTGCCGTAACGCCGGCGTCGCCCCGCCGGTCACAGTCTTGCGTCACATCAGATGGCAGCAGCGGCGCCGGCCCCGCGCGGCCGACGCTTGTCTGGTGGGTCTCTGGCCGGGGCGGACCAGGGCCTGGAGTCCCGCTATCGCGTGTGTCTACATGGAGCGGCTCTGGCCAGGCCTCGCCGTCTGCGGGGGGCCCCGCACGCCCACGCGTGCGTCGTCCAGGCGCGGGGGGGGCGGGGGGGGGGGGGCTGCGCGTGGACGACGAGCGATTATCGCGGTTTGTGGGTGCGTGGGTGCGTGTTTGAATGCTGCACGATACAACAGTCCTGGGTTTAGGAACAGTCGGAGACAGAACCGTACATTATATCTCGATGGTAACGGAGTTGACAGTTTCATAGTTGCTTTTTTGGATGCAATTGTGTTAGTTTGCATGGGGTTTAGCCAAAGATGGCCGATCCAATTCGTCTTTTGCCATCTTTTTCAATCGTCAAGCGGCGCTCTTGCAGGTAATGACGTTCATAGATGCGCAATCAATTCACAAATAAGAATAACGCAGGTGAAATGCTTACTTAAATCGCATGGCGGAAGCCACATCTGAACAAATCGCACGCGCGGAGAAACAAAGACCCGTCTCAGCCACCCCAGCGCTGCCGGTGTCCACCCCGATCCCCCGCCGTGAGCCGCGTATCGGGTGACCGTGTCAGGACCTCTGCAGGACCGCGGCCGGCCACATGATCCGTCGCGGGCCGCCGGTGGCCGCCGACCTGACCATTGTATTCAAATCGGACCCGCTGGGCCGCCGACCACGCAGAGACGCACGGCGGGCTAATGAAGCGCGGACCGCGGTCGAGGGCCGGCTCGGGCCGCGACGCGCGCCTCCCGCCTGTTGATACACGCCGTAAACAAAGCCTCGCTCTCACCCAAATCGGCGTCCTATTTGTGTACAAACCGGCTGTCCGCCGGCCGCCGCCGCCCGGGAGATGCGCTCGTCCGCGGGGGAACGGGCGGCTCGTGCTGCCTGCAGGGGACGGGCGGCTCTTGGCTGCCTGCGGGGAACGGGCGGGCTCTTGCTGCCTGCGGGGGACGGGCGGCTCTTGCTGCCTTGCGGGCAACGGGCGGCTCGTGCTGCCTGAGGAAGACGGGCGGCTCGAGCTGCCTGCGGGTCAACGGGCGTTGCTTCGAGCTGCCCTGCAGGGGACGGGCGGCTCTTGCTGCCTGCGGCAACGTGCGGCTCGAGCTGGCCTGCAGGGGACGGGCGGTCTCGTGCCTGCCTTTGGGGCGGGAGACGGCGGCTCGAGGCGGCCTGCGGGCAACGGGCGGCTCGGGCTGCCTGCGGGGAACGGGCGGCTCGAGCTGGCCATGCGGGGAACGGGAGCGGCTCGTGCTGCCTGCGGGGAACGGGCGGCTCGAGCTGCCTGCAGGGGACGGGCGGCTCGTGCAGCCTGCGGAACGTGCGGCCCCTGCAGGGGAAGGGCGGCTCGTGCGGCCTGAGGAAGACGGGCGGCTCGTGCTGCCTGCGGGCAACGGGCGGCTCGTGCTGCTTGAGGAAGACGGGCAGCTCGAGCTGTCTGCGGGGGACGGCGGCTCGAGCTGCCTGCGGCTGGGCTTAGGTCGGTTCGAGGATCACGTGCTGAGCCCCAGGTCTCCGCGGCCCGATATCTATCTAAGTCCCAGTTAAAGTGAATGCTCCACATCTGAATATATTAAAGCGAGTTTGAGATATGATAAAACAAGTTCACTTACAACTACTGACATAGCTTTTAAGTAAAAAAGACTGCTCTAGACAGCAAAACTCTCTGTATCGTCAACTTGCTCCTCTACGCGTCATGGTTTGAAAACGTCATCATACCTTGCACAACATTGGTTGAGAGCTAATTAACGGCCGTTGTACCTGGAAATTGTGCTCACAGACACCAGCTATGAACACCTGGACAATGAAATTTTTACTGGCCTAAATCCCCACATGGCTTATGCAATGGTAGGATTTGAATGACGTTTTATGACGTCATGAATGCCAGGGTGTTTGAAATACTGTCCCCGATATACTTTTCCCCATTTTCGCGGCGTGTAGCTAATAAATTAGAAGGTCGTAGGTCCTAAGATCGACGGGATTATGAGCAGCACCGAAAATTCTTCCATATCGCTATTTCAGTTCAAAACCACATATAAATGTGAAACGCCCTTTAAATATTAGGCGCTTACAAAAACTTTGCACAAAAGCTAGTTTCTATCTTGATTTGAGTGGCGGAGATAAGCATGCTCCATCCGACCCGGCCAGCTGAATGTTCATGAATGGTACTCGATTACCAAGGGCTGTCCTACCATACAGAAGCCTACCACACCTGAAGCCCACCTGAAGCTTGACCTACCATTTCCTTTAGCTTTCAACTCGGCTTCACGTGCATTGCAGCTTCCTATCATGAGCAGTGCTATTTACCACTTGTCAGGTAACCAGCTGAGGTTCAGGCGGAGCTTCGGGGACCAATATCATTCATCGCTTTGTTTCGTGCCTAATCATGATTGCTTGCATCTGACTCATCTTTTAGTGAAGTAATAATGCAAATTGTCGAGTGGGTAGTCGCTTGGTATTCAGAGTTTTGCTTTTTACTTGTAAGTTGTGACCTATGATTTTTCGAGTGTATGACGTATGGCTAAGTTAACCCAGACAAACCATTATGCAGACAAAGAAGGGCTTTGTTATCCAGGCATTGGCTTTTAAATACTGCAAATTTTCTCATTTGTATTTTCTTAATTAAATACCAGTGGAAACTGTTGTCGAAATCGGAAATAATGTCCCCCAATTAGCAGAATTGTCGCCGGCCTGAACTCGTTCAGAAAGTGAAGCTCATTTTCTTCAACTTTGGCTGTAAATCAGTAGCATATCAGCACGGCTGACAAATATTTCAATCTGCTCGAAATGATCTAAAATGTGCTTAGTGGATTGCGAATAGATCCACACACTGCGCAATGAGACGAATCGGAACTGAAGCGCTGTACTGGGATACGAATTGACAATGAATCAATTTCCGAAACACGAACCCATGATTTCAATCTGATCCCAATCGTTCAGCAAGACTCATGAATCAGAAAAGAATCGATTCTGAATCTGAATCATCAAAATCTGAATCAATCACAGATTGGACAGTATGATATGCCGACCAATGCCAGCCTGCATCCCAGCAATCCATCTCAGTCCGTGCCAGGTCGCGTTGCACAGCCTTTTCCTGGACCATCCCCAACCACCTGACAGTTTCATACATTGGCCATTCTATTTTAGTCCACCCCAAGTGTTGTACAGCGCTTTCTCCTGATCCGTATCAGCGTGTACTACAACATCCTACCCCGATCCGTCCCAACTTACATAACAACGGCCCCATCGCGGCGGCCCACCCCAGCTTGCGTTACAGCAGGCTGCGTCACGCCGCTCGGCCCGTTCCCGCCGCTGCCTCGACGCCCTGTCCGGCCGTCGGCGTGGCGGCTATTGCGGCGCAACCATCTGCGCCGATCGGTCCATATTAGCCGGTGCTGCCGCGGCCTGCCGATCGGCCCGCACCAGCCGGCGGCCCAGCTCGGCCGTCCTTCGGCTCGCCGCGGTCGCAGACCGGCAGTGCAGCGCTGTCCGCCGACAGCGTGGCAGGAGATAAAGACCCCATTCATTACCACCTCGGCTGGCTCCATCACAGACCGGGGGGGGGGGGGGGGGGCAACGGGCACTAATCCTCTTTGCTTCATGCTTGGCTGCTGTTCGACCGGGCAGAAATGTAACGGACCATTCATCGCTCTCAGATCTTCAATGAGATCACGTATGAATGGCCGATGCTATCAAGCCTGTTTCCTACGCTGTTTTGTCATCGCATGGTTGCGAGGAAATTATGTGCATCAATTTTCATGCATGCCTTCGTATGAACACAGTATGCATAGGAATGCAAATCTTCCGAAAGTGAGAGGTACTGAGCGGAAGTTGAAAACGACACGCGAACTTGCCTCCATCCCAATGTCACATTTTTTACGCATCTCACCTCGCAACTCAAACCGAAACTGCACAATGAATCCAACCAAAAATCACAGCCGACATGCACTGCCAATCCAGACAGTTCCCAACCAGTTTAACCACCCACCGTATCGGAGGCCGCGCCAGCGCCGGTACACGTCATCGTGACGACGGTCCAGGTACTCGGCGCCCGTCAGCAGGCAGAGCACGAGCACGGCGGCGGCGCGGCGAGCCATGAGCGCACTCACATCCTCCCGGCGCGCACTGCTCACTCCGGCGCGGCGGCCGCGGCGCGACTGAGGCCGGCCGCTGGGGCCGCCCGGCTCCGCCAGGTGCCGCGCCGCCGGCCGGCGTCGGTCCGGCCCGAGCCGCCGCCGCTCAGGTGAGCCGATACCGGCCGAGACGGCGCAGGGCCCGGTTAGCTCGGGCGGCCTGCGGGCCGGCGTGTAGGGCTTACAGCTGGGACAGGATGAGCTCTCACTTACTGGATCTCCGGTTGTGTTTCGCTGTCAGCGCATTTTAAATCGTCAGCTAATGTTCACATCATTGCTATTGTTCCGTAAGCCCTGTCGTCTCGGCATCGCTCATCTCTCGCTTGACATACCCTCATTTACCGCGTCCCTGTCCCAGTCTTTCGGGATTAACCATCCTCGTCTTCCCCCTCTCTAGAATTCTCCCATCTCTCTCTTTTCTTTCAGCTTCTCGAGAGATAAGGCTCTCTCATAGCTCTCTAGCGGAGAGAGACGCTCTCTGACTCTCTCTCTGAGCGAAAAATCTCTCGTCTCTTTCTTCTCTCTCTCTCTCTATCCTCTCTCTCTCGTCTCTCGCAACCCACTCTCTCTCTCTCACTCTACTCATCTCTCTCTCTTCCTCTCTCTACTCTCTCTCTCTATCTCTCCCGCTCCTCACTCTCTCTCTCTTCATCTCTCTTCTCTCCCTCTCTCCTCTCTCTCTCTCTCTCCTCTCTCTCGCTATCTCATCCTCTCTCTCTCTCCCTCTCTCCTCTCTCTCTCTCTCTCTCTCTCTCTCTATCTGCCCCCGGTCTCTCTCACCATGCTCAGAACCGTGACAGCCGCGCGGCCGCCGTCGTTCATGTGACCCTGCCACCTTTGTGGTGCTGTGGTGCTGCCTGATCTGCCCAAGCCTTCGTGACGAATGTGCCACGTCACGGCCGTCACGTGACGAACGTGCCACGTCACGGCCGTCACCTCAACAGATGGCCGCGAGACGCGACAGAAAGCGACAAACTGAGCAGCAGCCCGGCGCCGCTGATGGAAACCAGCACCGAGCTCAGCGCTGCCGCTTCCAACCGGCCAGCGCACGCCGACGGACCACGGCTTATCCGATGCAATAATAAATCCCGCGGAGCCTGCGGTGGACAGAAGGCCTGTCACCATTTTCGTCGCCGTGTTCGGCCATAAATTCGGCGGGCGCTGGCTAGCCGGGCAATGAATCGGTCGGCGGCAGCGCCAGCGCCGCGCGGCCCCGGTGACAGGGCGGCGACCCTCCAGCGGCCCGAGATCGCCGCCGCCGCCGCCGCCGGCACAGACCTGGCAGATCAGGGTCGGCTGCTGCTGCAACGCAGCGCGCAGACGCGCCTCGGCTGCAGCGCTCAGGTCGGTTTGCATCGACTGGAAACGGCCGCCGGTGGATCAACGCACATGAGCGAAAGTGGCTCTGATGGTCGGGGTCGGCGATGTGCTTGCAGGAGATTTTGGTGCCTGGTGCTCGTCTTCAGTGGACTGACGGCATGCCCGCTGAGAAGTGTGACGCCCGTTGTTCACCTTCATTCATTGCTTAGATATAAAACTCGAATAGCATGTGTTGGTATCGTCTCTGTGATTCCTTCCTGACAGCCAGTCCGTTCAGAAACAGGGGCCCAGCCGCAGCTAAAAGTGGCAGGCGGGATTGTCGGGGTTTTAATGCAGTTTCGTTTTCCATACAACGTCCGTTGAAGCTCGATGTTAAACATTGCAAATTTGTAAAGACATGATTTCCGTTCAACCTACCAAGCGCGGTGAGACTTGTGCATGAGTAATGGCACGTCAGAAATGCACTTTGAATGGCGCTGGCGCCATTGTGCCGTGTTACATCGCAGGCACCGAGCTATCGGGTGATGGATATCGCGCCCGTAAACGGCTATTTGGCGGGCAGGACTGGCACGATTCGTGGCTACAAGCGGCAGCAGCAGACATCGACTCATGCCCATCGCAGGAAGAGTGCAGCGAAGAGGCAATAATTTTGGGTACAAGACCATGACAGGGACCAGAGGGATCAAATGTGTATAGCATCAATGGCAGGTGCGAGGAAGACTGGTGGAGGGTCACCGAAGCCCCCCGCCAACCTGGGACAACGCATAGCGACTGTCGGCAGGTTCCGAACGTTGAATGCTCCTCACTGAATACAAACGTAGGAAGCCCATCGCTTCCTAAACGCATCCTGCGTGACACCCCTATCCACGGAGCCCCTGCGCACGACCCTGTTTTCGACGGATGAGCCGATAGAGACGTCGCTCTGCTCCATCGGACCCGTATTAATCACCGCGAGATCTGAAGGCGCGGTGAAATCGGCCGCCGCCACCCAGCGGAGCGTGCGACAAATTCGGCCAGCCCCGTCCCTCGCCCTGTCCCGACCGCCGTCAGCTCGCCGATGATGAAATCGTTGCCGCCACCACAATGCCCAATCAGGCGGCCACTTTGAAGTCGGCTCTGTTTGCAGTGGTGTGTCGACGACCCGTATCGCACAGGCGGCCGGCCTTCGTTCAGCGTCGAGGGCCGGAGGGCGGCGGACGCGGACGAGTCAATTAAGGCCGCTTCGATCAGGAGGCTCCCTGCAATTGCGTGATGTTTTCGGCCGCCGCGCTGTCCGCAAACGGCTGGTGCGCGTATGACATCTGAGGCACGATCAGGTCTCGTTGGCTTCCTCGATGCAGCGGATCCCGTTCAGGCCGGGGTTTATGACAAGGAAGGGATAAAGACGGGGCCCGCCCTCGTGAAGGAGACGCCACAGGACCCCCTATCCCTGGCGTCCCTCTTCCTGGACGGGAGACGCACCCCGTCCCTGGGCGGCCGCGCTGTGTGGCGTCACTGTGACGCGGCCAGTGACGCCGGCCCGCACCCAACCGGGCGGCGACCTTGCGCCAGCCGGACCCCCGCCCCCAAATATGGCAGTCCGCCGCCCGCTAAGGGGGCCGAGTGCACCGGCGGCATCCCCAAAACCGGTGGTGCGGCGCACGTGGCGCACCACGTCCGTATTTGGGTGCGCCGCATCGGGTACACGGCGGGCTGGTCTCCACCCCGGTGTGATCACCGCACAGGTGTACCGATGTGGAACGGAAGCGATGGGTAGGGCTCGTAGTACACGCGGGGACGCAGGTTCGTACCAATAGAGGGCTCACACTTAGTGGAGGAAGGAGCTGCAGCTCACGGACGCGTCATGTGAGCCACATATGTCAAGTTTCGGTGTTATGTTAGGCCTGCATGCAGCGTTGTTGTGACGCTAATACGCTTTCCCGCATGGAGATGCAGGCCCCTGAATGCTTGTCAGCGAGGACACAAGTCAGCTTATGACGCGGCAGGTGAAGATGCTGGTCGATGCTGAAGTGCAAAGGCTCAAACGTGAATTGGTGCCTTCAGGGCAGAACGTTATGCAGGGCATTTGTGCGAGCTTTATTTCCTTTTTTGTACACGACATTAGATGCCAAACGTATTGCACATATTCGTGTCATGCCTTGTCGCTCCATAATTTACATTTCATAGGACTTCGCATATAGCTACAATGCCAAACGGCAAAGTATATGCATCTTAGTGCAACGTGCGCACAAAAACTCATCCCAGCATAACTGCATTCACAATTCATGCGTTCACTTCTTCGCATTATCATCCTCATATGCATTGTTCTCCGCACGTACATTCCTTCGTATACATAACTTTTGCATGTACTGGCCGCCCTCTCTATCACACTTGTTCGCATGCGCATTCTGCATCACTTATGTGCATGATTACAGTTTCCTCGGTCATGCTTCTTCACAGGTATGCATCTCTGCAGTGCAACGTTGTTTTTTCAGTACAACTACCCTAATTTAATTATAAAGAATTGCATTCCTGTACGAGGAGTTGGGGGTTGGAAACCTTCGTTGCACACGCATATTTGTGGACAAAGATTTATGTGCAAAGTGGTGTCATAGAGAAACGTTTTGCCTACAAATGAATAAGGTGCGATGCTTTTTGTCCAGCCCCAGCGTTTTGTTCGCCGCTATCTTGTGTGTACTATGAAACACGGCATGGGCGCAAAAAAATGCAAAAAGTCTATCGTTACGCAGAACCTCCTGCGGTGTGAGTAAGCGGGGTGGGTGAGTGTAAAGTTTTTGTTCACTATGTCACACCAGGCTGATATCCTGAACTTCTGGAAGCGATTAGGTTTGCCAACGCTCTCACAGGGGACTATTTTCGTCCCCATGATGAAAAACTGGGCCACGGTATAAAGCGGGGCAACGAAGCGTGCTGTGGTATCCTTCGAACCTAGAAAGCTGTTACAGTCCTCTCTCATCACACGGGACACAGACGGGTGTAGCTCCGCCGTGGTGAGCTGCCTTTCAGTAAACAGAGGGTTCCCACTCCGCGCGATGACCTGCTCCGGAACGGTGAGGTGTCGGTCCCGGTGAGTGAGCAGCCCCCGGCCACCGGAACGGTGAGGTGTCGGTCCCGGTGAGTGAGCAGCCCCCGGCCACCGAACGGTGAGTGAGGGTCGGTCCCGGTGAGTGAGCAGCCCCGGCCACCGGAACGGTGAGGTGTCGGCCCGGTGAGGTGAACAGCCCCCCGGCCACCGGAACGGTGAGGTGTCGGTCCCGGTTGAGTGAGCAGCCCCCCGGCCACCGGAACGGTGAGGTGTCGGTCCCGGTGAGTGAACAGCCCCGGCCACCGGAACGGTGAGGTGTCGGTCCCGGTGAGTGAGCAGCCCCCGGCCACCGGAACGGTGAGGTGTCGGTCCCGGTGAGTGAGCAGCCCCCCGGCCACCGGAACGGTGAGGTGTCGGTCCCGGTGAGTGAGCAGCCCCCCGGCCACCGGAACGGTGAGGTGTCGGTCCCGGTGATGTGAACAGCCCCCCGGCCACGGAACGGTGAGGGTGTCGGTCCCGGTGAGTGAGCAGCCCACGGCCACCGGAACGGTGAGGTGGTCCCGGTGAGTGAGCAGCCCCCGGCCACCGGAACGGTGAGGTGTCGGTCCCGGTGAGTGAACA